CTCCTGACGCGCCGGCGCCGAGCGCCGCCGACGCCGGCGGCCGGCGGCCGCGGCGCGCGGCGGCGGTGCCTCATGCGGCGGTCGTCCGGGGCCGGCGCGGGGCCAGGAAGAGGCGCAAGGTGTTGGAGGGCTGGGCATTTGATTCGGACGACGGCTGGTCGAGCGGTGACAGCAACCAGGGCGTGGAGGCCCCGGCCCCGCCCCCACCGCAGCAGCAGCAGCAGCAGCAGCAGCAGCAGCAAGAGCAGCGGCGGCGAGAGGAGCCGGAGGGGCAGGGCGAGCAAGAGGGGCCGCAGCGGCAGGAGCTGCCGCCGGAGCGAAGAAGCGATGCGCCGCAGCAGCTGGCGCAGCTGAAGCAGGTGGATACCGCAGGTGGAGGCACGCAGGAGCAACACCAGCGGCAGCAGCAACAGCAGGAGCAGCAGCAACAGGAGGAGCAGCAGCAGCAGCGGGAGCAGAAGCAGGCGACGCCGGCTCCAAAGCGCAAGCGGCGCCATCGGCAGCCCCCCCAGCGGCACCCGCAGCCGGGGCAGCAGCTGTCCTCTGATGGGGAGCAGGACAGCGGCCGAGCACAGACGCCGCCGCCCGCCAAGCGGCGGCGCGGCAGTGCAGGCGCCGTGGGCAATGCTGCCGCTGCCGCTGCGCCTGTCGCTGCCCCAGCGCCAGGGGCAGCAGCACCCGACTCGGAGGCAAACGCGGCTGCCACGGTCGCAGCGGCCGCGGCGACAGCGGCAGCAGGGCCCGGAGGCGGAGGGGCCACCCCGGCGCCGTCGGTCGTGCCTCCTCCGCCTAGTCAGCCGCATGACCAGAGCTTGGGGGCCCCAGAGGCACTCAGCAGCGGCGGCGGTGGCAACGATGGACTCCTCTCAGCGGCGCAGCAGCAGCAACCGCCCGATGGGGCTGACACCGGGCAGCAGCAAAAACAGGAGCAGAAACAGAAGCAGAAGCAGCCAGCGAGACAGCAGCAGCAGCAGGAGCAGCAGCAGGAGCAGCAGCAGGAGCAGCCAAAACAGAAGCAGAAGCAGAAGCAGCATCGGCACCAGCAGCAGAAGCAGAAGCAGCCTGCAATACGGCAGCCGCATGACCCTGGGGACCACACCCAGCCTGAGACTGGTGTTGCCACGGCCGCAGCCGCAGCCGCAGCCGCAGCCGCTGCTGCATCCACAGCCGCTGGCGCGGCCAACGGCGGCGGTGCAGGTGTCGCCGTGGGCCTGGTGGGAGACGGGCGCGACGGCCAGGCCAAGAGCCCCAGCCCCACTCCTGCTAAGAAGAAGCGGGCCAGGAACGAGCTCGCCACGCTGCTGCAGGATGCAGAGGGGCTCGCCAGCGGCATCGCCGCCAGGCGGGGCGTGCGACAAGGGAGGCGGTGACGGCCACCATCGTGGGCCCGGCGGCGGCAGTTTTATATTAGGCAGGAGTGGCTGGATCAGCACGCGGGGAGGGGGCAGGGAAGCATGGCAGCTGATGAGCCCCAGCCATCTGCTGGGGGGCTGACAGCAGGGGGTGCGTTGACAGCGTAGACAACACTTTGTCCTTCGAGCGTGCGGGCCTGTTGACGAGACACTGGTCGTTGCCATGTAACCGCTCATATCGCTGCACGAATCCGGCTGGCGTCACCGCGCTGGTGACGAATGGCCACAGCCAGGATTTCGCGTTACAAACAAACTTTGATTGTGGATGTGCAATCCAAAGAGAAGGGCGCGTCGGTGTTCCTCGGCCGACGCGGCTGCAGCCTGTGGGCCCGACATTGATCACATGGCCGGTGCAGGCTGCGGCGGCCGCACGGCCCGTGGTGCTGCTCGGAGTGGTGATGCATTGACTACGCTCTCAAAGGGCTGCAGGCCACAGGCACCCCTCCAGGGCGGCCCAGAAGCGCACCCGGCTGGAAGCCGCGATGCAGAAAAACAGGCTGCGGCTGCTCTAGGGGCCCATAGCTCGCACGCGCCATCAAAATTGGTGCCACCAAGAGCCGGCGTCGCAGCCCAAAGCTGGCAGCTCCAGTATGCTGTCTTGGGCCCGATGTCTCTGGTGTCTCTCGACCTTCCGCTCAACTCCCCTGCATCGCTCTGCCCTGCGCCCAGCCGCCTCCACGCACTAGCTGCCCAATACCCGCAGCTGCCCGCCCGCCGGAACATGCCGCTGGGTGGCTAGCGCTGGGCCCCGTTGGGCACCGCAGGGCACCTGTTGCTGCGTTACCGACCTGTGGTCTTGCTGCCGCCCAGCAGCCGCCGCGCGACGCCCTTCACCACAGCGGCACCCGCCAGCGTCCCCAGCACGATGGTGCTCCAGTGGGGCTGCGGCCGCGCCTCGCCGCTCTTCTTTTGGCTTTGGAGGCACAAGAGTGGGGTGCAGCGGATAGGGGACAAGGGGGGTTGGTGACCGCACCGCATCAGCGGGCAGTACGCCGCAAGCAGGCAGACCCTCTGTACAGCGGTGATCGGACGGGTGCCGTAACACACCACAGCTGGCAACGCAACAGCGGTGTCTGCATGCGGGCGGGGCCCCCACCCTGCGGCCTCTCGGCCGGCCGAGCTCATCCGACACCTCAGCACGCCGCAACCCCGCCCTCGGCCCCTCCCCAAACCCCGGCGCGCCCCTCACCCGGCCGTGCCCTCGACGAAGCGCTGCGCCGACGCGAGCGTGTTTTTGAGCAGCAGCGCGATCGTCATCGGCCCGACGCCGCCCGGCACCGCGGTGATCGCGCCCGCCACTGGCTGGCACGACTCAAAGTCGCAGTCGCCGACGAGGCGGTAGCCCAGCTTCTTGGATGAGTCGTCGATGGGGTTGGTGCCCACGTCAATGATGACAGCGCCCGGCTTGATCCAGGAGCCCTGGGGGATTGACCCAGGGGTGCGGAAGGGGTTGAGGGGGGGTCGTCGGGCTGGATGGCGGCGATGAGGGGGGCTTGAGGGTCGGCGGGGGCGCGGGCGCGGGCGGCGGCGAGCTGGGGACGCGCTTGCTGTTGCTTGCTGGGTGTCTCTGCTCGCAGCAGGGCGGTCAGATGCTCACCAGCTGCCCGGCAGCTGCTGCACACTCCGTCAAACATGCACACACGCGCGCGCACACACACACACGCACACACACACACACATACAAGGAGCATTGCTGCGTGCAAAGTGCATCACGCGCGGACGCACACCAGCACACACACACACACACACACACACACACACACACACACACACACACACACACAAGCATGCACAGAAGCACGCACGTGCACACAGACAAACTCACACATGCAGCCTCCG